CAAGATATCAAATTCTGTTTCTATATAATTGCTGTAATTACCAACACATGTGTGTATCGATTTCTGTTGAATTTTATCCCATCATATTTACATACATGTCTGCATACGTAGCTATCCATAACACAACAATTTGGCAATCCAGACATATGACGAATATTACCGATATGTAGAGAATGACAGTGACACACACTGACATAGCTTTCCGATAAAACAATCGGTAAAACGATTACTTGTTGGTACAATTATTTAGAAATCTTAGACCGCTTCGATTGTAGAATACATGCGTAAAATAAATATCTCAACCATCTTTCCAGCTAATAATAATTCACCTCTCATAAGTTGAACATTCTGATAAGTAGATATTATAGAATTATATCCCAAATTTATTATTTGGAAAGCTACACAAACTAAACGACAAAAATGCCATACTTTCACATTATAAACACCCAACACCCATTATTACAATCCGATTTGTTTTCCCTGCTGGCAAAATCCATTTTGTAATATGTACAGCTGTCTTTTAAAGGCCAGGGTACAAGATTGCATGCAAGACTTAGCCATTCCTGTCTTGTGAATGTGAATATTTAATTAAATCCTAGTCACGAGTTATATTTCATACAAACTCGACTTCAATCATACTACTTTACTTAACTGATCGACGGGCTTGCCTGATCCCAAGGGCGACACAACAACTGAAGAGCACGTTGGCGTCACAAACTCAATATAATGTACGGTCTATGTCCACTTGTAGTCTTGCATATCGTTCTTGATATGTTTGGAGAAAAGCATTGAATGATTCAATTTTCTTTTTTTTTCTAATTGAAGTGGCAAATATTTGACAGGTTATAATAACAGCAAAGTGGGTCATTGACAACTAGTAATCGAATACTACTTAGTGAATAATTAATTGGAATTAAATTAAATAGTAATTCACGTTCACGAGTTAATAGTCTTATACACCGACCAAGTTATATTTCGATCGGGCAGCTAATCAGCGACCGCGTTGTAGCAGGCGATTTTTTGCATTGTTAAAGATGAGACATGCTATAGTGTTACTAGCAATAATTTCCCACTGGAAACTTAAAAGATGGACTGAAGGTTTCCGTGTGTTCTTGAGAGAGTGGAAATGATAAAGCAGGTGTGAAACTTTCTTCTGAGTGGCCAGTGTCAAAAAATGGTGTCAACAATTTTGTTGATGAAGAAATCATGATTAGTATAATGAGCACATCAATTACATCCTCAAATTAATTAAATTATTTATTTATTTGGTGTATACCTTTCCATATGTCAACAAGTAGCTCAAAAGAAGCTTCTGCACGGAAACCGTATTATCTACTTTTATTTCAAATAAGAGCATGTATTGGTCTCGTTAAACATTTCCCAGCATGCACTTGACATTTTTCGAATAGCCCTTCAATAAATGTCAATGTCTTTTACACCTCTGGCAATGCGAAATGTCAAAAGTGAAAAACTGGTATTTTTCTCATAGTGAAACGCAATATTATTAAGTGGGAGTACGTGGGAGTACTGCAATAAAACCTTTTAAAATTGACACAACCCTACGGCGACAATTAGAAACAACGTTATACAACTCGATGACATTGCATCACAGCGATGTGTTTATAATGCATGGGCGAATTGACCACTTAAACAATTTTTATCGAGAGTGATGTATTATAGGACGACTGACATACGATAAGTAGTAAGATATGAATAATGTATGTACATGTGACGAATACATATATACATTGATTATTGCTGCAAAGCCATATCGTAGGGTAATGCTGCAGCATTATAATATTTAACTTTGTTCGCACTTCCAATATCGACAGTGGCAGCGGCACCGGGGGTGGGGGTGGGGTGCGCGACCAATAGCGTAAACTAGCATTATTCGATAAACGTTTTTGAAATAGCGTTCCCAGAACCGAATTACGTTTCTTGTGTGCGAGTGTTTCAATTATACACATACCCACTGTAAGAGGCACACGTTCAAAGGACGTCTCCCGTGTATCTGTCTATCTATAATTAGGTTCAGTTAGAGTATATCAAATAGCATTATCGACGTATAATTATTGCCTTTATCCAACAGACCACAGCGTGACATACAGCATGAAACCCGTGGTTCTCTCAGTCTTAGCTTACGTGGTTCTTTTGACCGTCTGCGTACACGAATCGACAGGAATTCCTTTTGCCATTGACATTACACCGGTTGATGCTAACACGCATTCCAGAGTCGCCTCGGGTTATAAAGATCACAGCGAGCCGTTAAGAGAGCAAAGAGTATATACCAATGAAGGAAAAAGACAATTTGATAGTAAGCATTTAGGTTTTATCTATTCAATTCAATGATGTATACTTATTTATTGTGTTAACTGGTCGTAAAATAATTATATTGTATCTACACAGTGTTGCTAAAACGCCATTCCCTGAAAAACGTTTTTGCTTACGTAACAAGTAACAATGTCAACAATTTGAAATTAAAATACGTTGAAGATGTTTACACACTTTATAGTTAGAGTATTCAATATTTTAGTAAATAACAGTAAAACAGGATATTTGGAGAATATATAGTATTTCTCATAACCCGTTTATATTACATTGGATAGAGCATAGTTTGTCGACATTTGTCGCGTTCACAGCATAGTTTAATACCGATACTAACTTTGTACAACCTATTGCAATTGCCATTTACAGTTGGTAACTCACCAAATTCTTGGGCCAGAAGACTGAAGACCATGTACTTGTGCAGAAGAAGAAGCTTGTCTGAACAAATTTGCCAAACAGAAACAAGAACTCGCTGAATAAAATGTTTTGCATGCATGTTTGCT